CCGCGGGCGGGGCGGAAATATTTCCCGTGTTGTTATTATTCTTCCCTCTTCCTGGCCGGGCCTGGGCGGAGTGAGGGCGGGGGGGCGGGCGGGGGCAGGCGGAGGAGTCCGCCGGCTGCCGAGTTCCACCTCCAGGCTGGTGACACAGGCATGCGCGGTGCAGACGCGCGCGTGCGCGCGCATACCCCCCCCCCCTCCCCCCGGACTGCGGCCCCGGCGGCAACGGTGTGAGTGCCTTTCCGGTATCCGGCTTCTGCGGCATCCGAGGCCTTCTTTTTGGGTCCAACCGGCGGGGTGTGCCTTTGATCTCTTGCGGCCGAGCTCGGCGATTCCTGGGCATTCCTCCGGCGAGCCGGGGCTAGCCGGCACTCTTCCTCCGGCGGCCGAGAGGATGGAACTCGGGGCCGGCGTGCGTGCGTGCGTGCGTGCGTGCGTGCGTGCGTGCGTGCGTGCGTGCGTGCGCGCGTGCACTCCTGCGCGGCCACGCCCTCACATGGGCGTCGGCCGGTGGACGGTCCTCCCCCGGCTGGCAGGGACATCCAGCTGCTTCCGGCCTCCTGGTCCATCAGATGAGGCCCGAAGTTGGGCCCCACGCTTTCCCAGGCCTCTAAGGGTGCTGGACCTTTCGTGGGCGGTGGTCACCCCGGCTCCCCCTCCCCCCGGCGCCCGGGTGCCTGGGCCGTACCCCTGAGACTCCTGCCTGGGGAGGGGGGGGGGCTAGCATGTGTGTGTGTGTGTGTGTTGTGTGTGTTGTGTGCCTGCGTAGGACACCCACCGTTTGCGCCGCGGGTCTTCCGCCCAGGGAGTGCCCCGTCCTCTGCGCCCTTTCTGGACGCCCCCGCCGCCAACACCGCCCACAAGCGGCTGGCGCCCCTGCCCTGCCCTGCCCCCGCCCTGCCCCCCCCCCCCCCCGCCCCCCCGCGCCCTTCCCCGGCGATAGGCAGCAATAAACAACGGGCCCCGCGCCCCGGCGCCCGCGGCGAACACCGAAGATCCCCCCAGCCACGCCCCCCGGCGTTGGAGTCTCCGGCCAGGCCCGATGGCCAACACGCGGCGGCCGTTCACTGGGGCCGGTTGCGCCCAGCCAACATGCGCATCCAGCCGAACGGCCCCCATTCCCGGATGATCAGCGCCCAAGCAGGAGGGGGGCGGCGGAACCGAGGGGATGCGACCGCGGATGCTCCTGCAGCCCCTCTCTTTATGGCGGCCGAGTGGGGGCGGCTTTTTCACGGGGCGACCCCTTTCGGCGGGCCCCCGGCTGGACGCAACGCCGCGTCGCGGCCCTCTGGCCGGCTGGGCAGGGCGGCGGCTGCAGGCCTTGAAAAGGGGCGCCGGGTGGGACTGCCCCCGGTCCGGTGTGCTGCAGGCCATTCCCACCGCTCCGGCCCTCCTGGGGGGGGGGGGGCGGGGGCGCGGACCGAGCTGGCCGGTTTGCACATCCGGGCGAGCGTGCGAGCGTGGCCGGCCGCGCCGTGAGCACCCGCGTGCGCCGGTTCGCACCTTTCGTGCTCGCCCGGCGTCCTGCCCGCCGGGCTTTTCCCCCCCGGCTTCTCCCGCGAGGACTGGCACTTCTGGCGAATGCATGCACCGGGGTTGGTCGCACCTGGGCCCAGCCGCGCCCCGGCGCCCCGGCGCCCCCGGCGCCCCGGCGCGCTGGCACATGCACCCGCACTACACAGGGCACAGCCGATCGCCAGCTTCCCCCCCC